AGATGGTGACTTTGGAATTTTCTTCGCAATAATAATCTTTTTCACGTTCTCACCGAGAATAGATTGGTTTGAATTGGGGACTATTAACTCATAAAGTTTTTTTTGTAAAGTTGGGATACCAGTTTCAATTACAATATTATTTATGGGCGTCGTACGAAAAGCATAACAGCTTGCTCTGATGGCTTGGTGATAGACCGGTTTAAGGATGTTGATATTAGATTTGCAGCTATTGCCATAAATTATCAACGCATAGTCAATCTTGCTTAACACAAGCATTTTGGTAAGATAAGCAATAGTGTTAATATGCGCATGGCTTCTCCAAGCAACGTACTGAATGAAATTCGCCCTTGTTAAGATAGAATTTTTTAACCGAAGACAGTGTGCTTTCCAACGATAATTGTTGGAAAACGTGAGCCCGAGAACATGGAGCGTCTGCACATTTAGTACTGGTAAGTCGTTAGTATGCATCAGTAGGTTTCCTGCGTCTCACATTTGTTTTCGACATATGTGCATTTTTTTGGATTTTTGTATAGAAATTTTAGCTCCTGACGAATTTGCCCACGTGGAGATCTCACATGCAATAGATTCGAGGATGTTGATTGCTTTCGTGTTGTCTTTTTCTTTTGTAAAAATGTATACATCGTCCGCGTAGAGACAATGTTCCACTCTTGGTACACGGCAAAGAATTTTGCTAATTTCGTTGAAAGCGATCTGGAAAAGCGTGACAGAGAGAGGAGATCCTTGCGGAATGCCATTCATTAGCGGAAAGTAGAGAAATGATTGTTGATTCTAACTTGAAGCCGCCGATGCGACATGAATGATTTGATGTAGTTGAAGAATTTGGGTCCAACATTCCATGATTTCAAGAGTCTTAAGATAACATGAAGACCAACTCTGTCAAATGCTTTTTCGAAATCAATTGAAAGAATTGTTACATGGTTTCGTTCGGAAATTGCTTTGCTTGTGAAATAATCAATATGTAACAGAGCGTCGATGCAACCTCTACCCCGTTTGAAACCAACTTGTTGCTTTGTTATCAGGTTCTTGGACCCAAGAAACCAACATAATCTAGATCCCATAATCTTTTCCGATACCTTTAATAGGCAAGATAAAAGAGAGATTGGGCGATAGTCCGATGCTATGGAGACATATTTAGACTTTGGAATTGGAACAACTGCTGCCAGTTTCCACATGCAGGGTATATGTGCGGAGAATAAATTGTAGCTGCGAAAACGATTGCGAAGGTATAAGAAGGATATAGAGCGAAAGCACTGTAAATTTTATGTTTAACATTATTTGTATCGCTACGGCTTGTATATTTGAGCTTGAATTTATGCGTTTGTGAGGTATACTTGATTTTATAAAAACACCAGTTCCTTGTTTGGAATATAATTTTGATCAGCATTCGTGAAGTATCCAGTATATGATTTGGGTGGACTAGGATTAAGAGAGGTTGCAGCGTCCGCGAACAAACTCAGGGTAGGGTGTCGGTCGGTCCGTGTCAGCCGAAAAGATTGCAATAACGGCATCCCGTTATGCAAAATCGCATGATTTTGCAGTACATTTCCTTTTTTTGCAAGAGTAGCGGCTAGGCGCTATAAGCAACATAAAGAAGAGCAAAAAAAAAAACGAAAAGAGAAAAATCATGCGAATAATATGGGTCAGCTGAGTTTGAGCCTAGAATTGAATTGGTTGTGATCGCACAATGTAAATCCGCGGAGAAATTTTATTCAATTTCTATAGACATTTCTCTAAGGAAGAATAATTTAATAATGTGATTAAGTTGAGTGGAGTTTTCATGATATTTCTCTAAAGAAGAATAATGTAATAATATGACTAAGTACATTGGAGTTTTCATGGGAGATAATCAGATCAAAATATCTCCAAACGAGGCAGAAATAAAAAAGAAAAAAAAAAGGAAAAAGGGGATAGAAATGAAACCAGGGCGATCGTGAAAAAAAAAAATGTTCAATTAATCAAATATACTCAAGTTTTATAAGTACGTTACATATTGTAACGAGTTTCCTTAGGCAGGGTATGACTCAGTCAATCCAGGATCCGTTGCAAGAAAATTTTAATAAATAATCAGGACCTTCGGGGGGAATGGTGTTATGGTTTCTTAGCTTTATTGATTCCACTTTACTGGACGGAAGTACAGTGATGTTTGTAGAAAATGGCTGGGGCAAGGAACCAGCGAGGTGACCCGACTTGTCGTGCTATTACCGGCTTGTTTTGTTTTGCTCGTTTTACTTGTATGTTTGGAACTTGCACTTCTTTTTCGTTACGCTTTTAATATCGCGAGCACTTCTTCACCACCAATAGCTCCACGTTAAAGGACATATCGCCTATCTTCGCCTCTACCGTTATGCTACGTTTGCTATCTTGTGATGCGCCATCTACCATTCGAATGGTGTGGCTTCTCGTGTCAGAGTTTATTATGTGGGGGATAAACCCGATGAAATCTTCGCGAATGATGCTTCTGGTAGCCCCGGTGTCCACGACACCTGTTGTCGCTAGGCCGCCAATGGTGAGGGAGGCTACCAGGGTGCTTCCAGTCATTTCCACAGTTTTTGGCACCGCATCTGGCGGCGGTTTCCTTCGTTCTATCGATTCATACACTGTCATACCTCGTGTTTGTATATGTTGAAAGGCGGTTTGTCGGCAGCAGTCCTTTGTCAGAACGTCCGGGCGGCCACAATCCCAACAGAACAAAACACGCTGATTAAGACAATCGCGCGCAAGGTGGCCTGGTTGGGCACATCGATGACAAACGTTTCGGCTGGCACTGCTGGTATTCATCGTGGTCGGGGCATTCTCTCTTGGTGCACGGCATATACCTGATGTCACCCTTGGCAGGGGTGCCACTGTTGGGACAGGGATATCTTCGAATCGCTCTCCCAGAGCTATTAACTCATTTAGATCTTTGCTGGAGGTGTCCCCGAAGAAAAGTTGATACTCCCGCTGACTGTTTCGTGCGATTCTGTCTAGCTTCTGTTGTGTCGTATAATCAAAGTGCGGCATCAGGTCCTGCAGGCGGAGCGCGTAATCTCTAAATTTCTCGCCGGCTAGCTGGAATGTCTGTCGCACCTGGTCATCTAACCGTTCGAGGTATCGGGTGGGCAAGAAGAATTTGAGAAATTCCTGCCTGAACTCCTGCCACCCTGCCCATACTCTTCAGTTATTCCGGTACCAAATTGCTGCTTTACCATGCAGCAGCTCCATGATGATTCGCGGCATGATGTCTATGGGCAAATCGTACACTTCGCACAACTCTTCTACGCGTGCGATGAACTCCAGGGCGCAGCTCTCGCCATCGTAGCGCACCGACCATTTACAGATGCGATCCATGGCCGCGCCACAAGAGATGCGTTCTTGCGCCTGGCGTTTGGGACTTACACCTCGCACGGTGCCTTCCGGCAATTGCAGCATTCTTGGTGTGTATTGCGCCTCCAGTTCTGTCAGCTTCGCCTTCTGCTCCGTTGATAAGTCGGGGGTTGCAATAAGGGCTGTCACTGCTTTCCGCATATCCTCGACAGTACCCTTGGTGTCTAGGTCGAGCGATCCACAGATCTCGCTCAACTCCTCCTTTCGCAGGCTGTACAACCAGGACGTTTTCACCATGCTGGCTCCTTCCTTAACCTCTGTTTCGATAAGCTCACGGCTTGTATGCTCACTTCCTTTTTCTGATGATCCGAAGGTCCCTGCTCGGGCGCCACTTGTAACGAGTTTTCTTGGGCGGGGTATGACTCAGTCAATCCAGGATTCTCTGCAAGAAAATTTAGAAAAATAATCAGGACCTTCGGAGGGAATGGTGTATAATTTCCTAGCTTTATTGTTTCCACTTTACTGGATGGGAGTACAGCTGAAGAAAATGGCTGGGGCAAGGAACCAGCGAGGTGACCCGACTTGTCGTGCTATTACCGGCTTGTTTTGTTTTGCTTGTTTTACTTGTATGTTTGGAACTTGCACTTCTTTTTCGTTACGCTTTTAATATCGCGAGCACTAGACGGCTATGACACCAAACTGAACGAGTCTGTGCGATGTGCCGCATATGTCCTTGTTCTTATTTTAAACCTCAAAGAAAACCTTACTCTCTAAAACTAATCATGTGCCTAAATGGGGTGAACGTTTTTATAAAAATACTCCAATTAAAATAATTGAAGATTCTATTTTGGATCCGAAGAACAAAACTTTAACCACATTCACGCGAAACATTGGCATGAAAAAAATTATGGTATGTTTTTCACTTCGCTTCAAAGCATTGTAAACCGGGGAATAACAAATTTTTCTTACAGAAGGTTGATGAAATTGTCGAATATACCGAGCAGAAGGACGGGCGCACCTTAGCTATTCGTCATGCTTACATTAGTTCACAAGTTTTTGGCTTCTCCCGTGCCATAAGAGCTCATATATAGCAAAATGAAAATGGAGGCCCATCATTACTCACACTTCAGACACGTATTCCTAACTCGCAAATTTAGGATTTAATAAAACACTGCAGATCAGCCACCAATCGATTCACGCGAGTAAGGAAATCAAGACCAGCTCACAAGAACTCCAATCAAGTAATTACCCAACATTCATTAAATAACAGCATAACACGCGATGAGTTTCTTGTATAAGTAGAATAAATAAATGAACAGATAAATAAATAAATTAAAACCCCAGTTACTATTACTATCCAGATAAGTAGTTAAGAATAACCATTATGAAGTCAGTCTCTGCGCGGCTCAAGTCAACCTTTTGGTCGTAACAATAGTGAATTTCCATCCAATAGAAGCTACAACTACTGATGGGCCACCACCTAGCTATCTTTTTTTTTGCCCTCGGTTTTGAAGACACTGAGTGATTAGCCCCATTATGAAAAGACAAAATGTTTTCATAAGTGTTGAGAAACGGCGTATGTGATGTAAAAATTCTGATAAATTTTGTGAGAACTGAAGGGAGAGAAATTGGACTTTAGTTTTCTTTTTAATCGCTTGTCCTGCTACTAGGCGTTGAAATTTTTGATATTAATTGGTAAGCGGTTCTCTTTCATTACACTTTTCTGTAGTGATATATATATTCTTGTATTCTATTCCATTAAGAACACCAGGCCATGAGAAGCTAATTGATTTGTAATTTTTGAACCTGATAGATAGTAAGACCTTTTACTTTTGCTTTGGCGAACAGCTGAGATGAAGAAAACGAAGCAAATTAAGGCATCTGCGCAGAGTTTTAATGCAACTCGCAAGTGCCAAAACTATAACTGAACCTCTAAAGGCAAGTCATGCAGTCAGAGATTAAATCCCTGTTTGACTCTTATTAGCAATAGCTATGATTTAAAGTGAAATTAATTTTGTTCTCGTTTTCACAACGCTTTGCAAAGATAACTATGACCGAAGAATTTGTATACGGCAGGCAGCACCTTTAAAAAATTCAAAGGATGGGAATAAATGAAATATGTTGTATCAGCTCATCGCATAATTTTAGTCTGAAAAATTCCAAAATTACTCTTGTCATCTCTTACATACGTACAAGAAAGCGCTCGTGCATCTCTTATATAAATATGTAAAGATATTTTAACAAACGATTACACACAAGTTATTCTTTGTTAACAAAATCATTGGTTTTGTTTACTAAAGATTATGTCGGGATTATTGGATGGTTAGTCAACACACTGCGTGCAAAGATATTGAATTGCAGCACTAAATAAGTAAAGAGAAAGCAGCCGTCGAGATAAGACTGGTTTGAAACAAGAAAGTATCCTATGGCGTGAAGGATGTAAACAAACAATTTGACATTGGCTTCAATTTAACGTTAGACACTCAAAGGCAGGCCCATCAGGAATGAAGAAAATACGCAGCGATAACATAAGTGATGGCAGAAAAGAAAAAGAATGAGAAATTTTACTATTGCGGACAAAGGTATTCATCAATATGCACTCGATGAGATTGCTCAGGAAAGTGGGAAAGATGTCTAAGAAAATGAAATTGAAAAGCTTAAAAGTGAACTCAATGAAAATATTGGGATAGGCATCGCCTGAAGAATTCAAATAAATTAATTGAAAATAAATACCTGAGATTATCTATCAACCATACCACTAGTAAGCTATCATCAAACAGAAATCTCCCAAAGAGCTAACAATATAAAATATAAATTCATCTCCCCTTGTACGTCTCCTGAATAGTTTTGTA